CTAATCTGCTGCAAAATACCTCTTCAAAGTGTTAAAAAGCAAAGATATCACTTTTAAGACTAAGATGTACCTGACCAAACCATGGTATTTTCAACTGCCTTAATGCATGTGACACCTGGACAATGAATAAGGAAGACCACAGAAGACCTGACACATTTGAATTGTGGTGTTGGCAAATAGTGCTGAATGCACCTTGCACTAACAGAAGAATGAACAAATCTGTCTTGGAGGAAGTAAAGCCATAATGTTCCTTAGAAGCGAGAATGGCCAGAGTTCGTCTCTTACACTTTATCATGTTGTCAGAAAGGACCAGTTCCTGAAGAAGGATATCATACTAGATACTAGATAAAAGTGTCAGAATAAAAGGGGAAGGAAGACCCTCAATGAGACAGACTGACACAGTGGCTGTGGTGATGGGCTCAAGCACATCAAAGGATTATGAGGATGACACAGGACCACGCAGTGTTTCTTTCTGTTGTCCATAGGGTCGCTATGAGTCACAAGCGAATCAACAGCACCTAACAACAATAAACAACATACTAATAAGATACCGTTTGAATGATAATATTATTATAATCCCTAAAATTCTTCATTCAAATTGTCTTTGGCATTTTTTTGCCCTTAATTCTTCCATATGATTAAACTGTCCCTGCATTCTTAGGATAAACTTTATTTAGATTCAAAAATACTCCACAACCATCATTTGATTCAATTTTCTACTATTATTAATTTCATTCTGACTTCTACACCTATTTGGCAGTGAGATTAGCCTGCACAATTTCAAGGTTATGCTAAATTCATAAAATAAGTTGACAAGCAGCTTTACTTTTCTGTTCTATGAAAGATTTTATAAAAACAGGAATCACCTGTTCCTGTGAGGTTTGATTAAAATTTCTGTGCCTGTGAGGAAGACATTGATAGATTTTCGGTTTCCTCTTGGAGTCAGTTTTGTTACATGAAAATGGAGGATGCCCACATCACATTATAAAATGGAGGATGAGTGCATAGTCACTTAACTGCCAAATTACATCATTATAAAACTTTCAAACCACTGAGAATCATGGCCAAGCCAAGTTGGCACATAATCATAACCATTACAGCCAGAGTTACCTTGCACTTCAGCATTCGTCACTGGCAGACATATGCTGCTAATGTACAAAATGGCAGGATAGTAATGTTTTACTATTGTGTTAAGTGGGAGCTCTGGTAGCATAGTGGCTAAGACACTTGCCTGCTAACCAGACGGCTGGCGGTTCAAACCCACCAGTCACTCCTCGGAAGGAAGGTTGG